AGGAGAAGAAGCGGAAGGGAGAATTTGTTTTTCCGATTCATGTTTTTGCAGCTGGGCATAGGAGAACAGGCCTATGCCGATATAATCAAGGCAGGTGTGGTTGGAGAGTGCAAGATGATTGTATTCTTGGGCTCTTGTTTGATCAACTTGATATGTATCTGAGTACTGTGGATATACCTTGATGAATCCATTGAATGATTCTTGCAAAGAAGGGAGAGACTCGGGATTTGTGAAATGAGTGTTTGGGAAGATGGAGGAAGTCGTCGTCTTAGCAAAGTTATGGCGACATGTTGCTGATGTGCTTCTAGGCTTGCTGATTTTGTTAAGAGGCTCAGAAAAGCCAGGGATGGGGCTTGGACAGCAGCCACTAAGGCATGCTTGAGAGACTTCTTTTAAGCAACGAGGCTGCATCTTCTCTCTGCTATATCCTCTCAACACTATCGGTATTTTCTCATTGTTTCTAGCTCCCTCTCCACTCTCTTGTTGTTTGTGAGTTTCCCTGTTATCAGCTTTGTAAGGTTAGTTTATAAGAAGATTTTTTTATTTGCTTACAGTACCTTGGGTGTTTTAACTTTACTGACAGGGACACGATGCCTCCTTTAGCATCACACGTATGAAAACTTTGAACAAGTCAGATCTCTTGAAGTTATGTCTCACATTTTTTACACAGTTGACCATGTTTACAGCTTTCATATGCCAACGCCATTTTTATTACTTGCTAGCTTGATGCATGCTTCATACCATCACCTCATACATTATCATTGGAAAATCAATCAGAACCACACAGCTATTAGATCCTCAATCATTATCTAAAATCATCCAGGTATGCCTTCCTTGTCCACTGGAAATCACTGTATACAATCATACACGCAAGACTAATTTCTGACTAGGCATGACAAAGCCATAAATTGCTTTCTATTGACTTTCTGAGTAGAACACCACCATGTGGGCATTCAAGTTGAACCATGATGCCATTTAATTACGTTTTGCTGTCTTTCTGTGTTTAAACCTGTTACCGGCTACACCGAACAGGGAAGTTCTGATAAGGTATTTCCTTGATCGTCTTCACCTATATTTTTTGTTTCGTTACAAATTGTCTTAACCTCCTTGAAAGGTAGGAAATGTGTACTAGAAAGCAACAGGCATAAGTGGAAGACAAAACTGCTTTTTTATCGGTTTGCATCAATCATGGCTGAAAAAAAAGCTTCGTTAGCGTGCTTGTCAAGTGAGTTGCTTCGTGTTTAAGGCTTCGATTTGTAGAAAGTGCTACCCCCATTGGCCCAGGCCATTTCTTCTTCAGCTAGCGCATGGTGAGCTGTGTCCATTATATGTGTGCCAAATGTCCTTGCCAATGATTGCCATCCTTGGTTGCTTTAGCTGTTCCAAGTTTTTTCTTCTTCTTTTGGGGTCTCCTCCTCCTCCTTCCTCCTCCCTCCTCCAGGTGATGAAGACTAGACATTCCCTTTTTATGATAAAAGAAAGTGAGGCTCCTTCAGGTGATGAAGACTAGAAATTCCCTTTTTATGATAAAAGAAAGTGAGGATGGCATTATTGGTCCTTGGAAACATAAAAAAAAAGCAGTCAAAAAGCTCAGCGGGAGACTTTTTTTCCGAGTTGCATAATCATGATTACTCCCATCTTTACATTTGAATGTTGATTTGAGGACTGAGAATCAATGCCCTCATTGAATTGAATTTCAGATTTCATTCCACCTGGGCTGCTTTTATGAAGCATCACCTGTCCCAGGTTCTCGAAGAAGAAGAATTAACTGAATAAAAAGCATAAATTGCCTATGCAATTTCACCTGAAGGATCTATGAGCTTTAACCATTTTTAAGTTATTATTAAATATATTGCTTCCATCTACCCAAAAACAAGGGCGAAGCTATAGATGCACTTGGCCTCACATGACCAAGCTGCTCTGTCTCCAACTACCTCCTATTCACCTGGTCCATATGGGATTTTTCAGGTTGCGTCTTAAAAAATTCCAGTTTCATCGGTTCGAATCAACCAAAATTAAAATCAAAATTAATTAGGTATAAATCAAACTAATTAAGTTTTATGTTCTAACAAAAAATAAAAGGCTAAATTCCTAGTTCTAGCTGGATTAAAAATCTAAAAAACCAATCCAAAACCAGTTCGAGTAAAGTTAAACCAAAATTTAAAAAAAAAAATCCCCAAACCCTAATTAGAATTTGGTGGGTTTTGCCGAAGGAAAGAGCCGGTTGTCCCTTTCTTGTTAAATGGCAGCTATGAGACAGTAACAATGGGGTCGCCAGGCAGCTAGTTTTTTCAAATTATAAGAATATATATTATTAATGATTTCATTTCATATGAAAATGACACATAAAAGTTGAAAGAAATTTCACAGGAGATGGATTGATCATGTTTAAGGCGAAGGACCCATTGTAACAAGTTTTACACGCTTAAGCTGTAATATATCAATTCATGCTTTCAATTTTTGGACGTCATTCATGACAAATGGCAGCCTCCAAATATTTTCTAAACTAATTCCATGGCGGCTCTCGATTCTCGTCTCATATTACAGCAAGCATTCTTTTGTTCGTCCTCTGCATTCTTATTATTGGCTATATATCTCGCGCTATGAGTTGTAATTTACTTTTTAAAAAATATTGAAAATATAAGCTATTTTCATATATTTTTTATATAAAAAATTCAAAATATATATTGAAAAACCTATACCAGTATCTAATTAAATAAATTAATAATTATCATTACATATAAATTAAAAAATCATTAACAATAACCAAAAGAAAGATTAAAAACCTTAATGTATATCAAAATATTCAAACACATAAAAATAACATATTTATCCAACTATACTTACTAATCTTATTTAAATCAATAAAAAATATCAATGCATTGAAATTTCTATCTTCTACATAACCAAATCTTGAAAACGATCGCCCAATAGTATGTGATTCTTCTTCAATTCATCTCTCTTGAATTGTCCATGCTTCCCCCCCCCACCAGAGGGTTGGTGAGCAAATGATTTATGAAGAAATAAGTAATAAAATAACGCTAATTACTCCCCAGCTGCCAAGAAACTTTTCGGTAGGCGAGGGGGCGAAAAGCAGCTGGGGAGCTGATGCTCCTCCGATTTGAATATTGAAAGGCAGCTGAGTTGCCTTGGCATGTAGCAGCATAACTTTATACACAGATGGTTTTCTTCTGCTTTTATATATATGTATATATGCTGGAAGAGCCCCATCATGTCACTGTTTCAAGTTGAATCTCACCTTATGATCACCATAGCAAAACAAAAATAAGACCAAGAATTAAGTTTGTGCATCATTGATAGTGATTTTTGATAGATACTACTGAGATTTCTTATAAATTTGAATCCGAGATTTCTTAAAAAATTCATAGCGAATCGTTAGGTAATGCCTTACTTTCTCATGAATATGTATTCATTTTGGGCCTTGATGTTTGATTTTTCATAAATATAAATTCATTTTGATCCCTAACTTGAATGAAGTTATTTTTGTTATTATTATTATTATTGTATTTTATATAATATACTAAAAGGGGTCGTAAGCTAAAAGCCAAGGCAGGTCCTAGAAAAAAAAAACATATTCAAAATTTATTTTATTGTGTAATTATGAATTCAAATATAGAAATTGAAACAAGTAATCTAATTATTGTGTTTCAATGTGGGAATTTCCATGTTCAAATTCGAACAGCTCCAAGATTGAGGAGATATTTTTTTTTCTAATCTCCTCATAAAGTGTTTAAGGAATGATCAACAATGACGGAGTTTTGTATCATTATTTTCTTATTTATTATTTATGATCTATTTGTTTTGTTTAAAGTAAAATATTTTTCTTAAAAAATGTTTTATATTTACAATATCTTTTAATATTTGAACTGAAAAAATATTTTTTATGTGTAAAATATTTTTAAATGATGATAATAAAATGGTTGTGATGAGATGACAATGATGCATGAGAGATGATGATAAGATAGTCATGATGGTAATAAAAAAAGATGGTAAAATGATGATTGTGGTGATAATAAGATGAATATAATAATTAAAATAGTTGAATAGTATTAACAGTAGATTATGGTTCAGAAAAATATTTTATGAAATTTTATGATTTAAAAATATAAACTAAGTTTGAAGGTTGATTCTAAAATATTTTTTATTTGACTAATTTTCTTGTAAAATATTTTATAAAAAATAAATATAAAAAATATTTTTTAAAAACATACATCTAAAATAGTTTATGTCAAACAAAATTATTGTGGTTTTATACTAATCAGAACTAGCATGCTGCTATATGTAACTATGCAAGGAAAAGCATGAATTACATTGATTACACACTTGATTATTGTGATTAAATCTTTTTTTACTGTCTTAAATAGAATTCATTTTGCTAACGCATAGAATAACATAAAAATCAAACCAAAGAATAAAAAAAAAGAAGGGCTAGGAGTTCTTATAAGAAATATTCTCCAAAAAAAGAGATTAAAGGGAACAAAAAATAAAAATAATTCATCCTATTGCAAAATTCATAAAGCAAGACAATGAAAATGTAGTTGTTTTAAAATCTTGATCTCACGAACTTAAAATCATATTTTATATAACTTAATTATACACAAGTAAGTAAAAATCATAAAATAAGGAGAAAATAGTATATTATTGGAATAAATAAAAAAATTTCAAAAATAACCACATTTTTTTATAAAAAAACTAATTTGTGGATGAATTTGTAAAATCTCAAAATTACATGGGATCAATTTAAATCTCAAACCTAAAAAGCAGGTAAATTCATAGGCCCGTAGCATAAGAAGCAGGCCCTTAATTTATGGCCTGGCCTATTTCAAGTGTATATTGTCGAGACCATAATCAGAAAGCCCACATTGACCTTCTAATCAAATTTATATATCTTCAAAAACTATACCGAAAGCTTCCTTCTTCCCTGCCATAAACGTCAGTAGCTGCTGCCGCCATGGTTCTTCAGTACGTCCCTCTCTCTCCAATTCGTTTTCGTTCCCATGTATATGGAAATGGGTTGTATTTTTCTTCGTTTTTTCTTAATGGGTTGTTGTTTTTTCAAGTGTTTAAACAGTCTATGAATTGTTGGATTCAATTTCAGTCGTCTTGGCTTTGTTTGAAATAGATTACAATCTGAACATCTGATGTAGAAATCTAGAACCTTCGTTAGATATGACAATACAAGGTCAAAAAAGTGATTTTCTTTTGTTTTACAAAGCTTAAAAATGCAAGCTTTAAGCTTTTTGGTGACGGAATTTCCCACCTTCAATCCTTTAATTATGATGACTAAATTTATAAATTTTTGGTGAATGGAATAAATTTTAATTATGTTTCAAGTGAGTCTTTTAATTACTCTCCGGAATAAGACCAAGTAATTTGCTATACTGCCCGAGTCCTCGGTTCCTTGGTAGAGCATTAAGCTATAATCTATGTTTGAGTGTGATTGATGCAGTGCAGGAAGATAATAAAGTGAAAACACAGTGAAGTAAAAGCAGAAATATTCTCCTTTTCAGCCTCATGAAAAAATAATTACTTGTTTCTCTTCGGTTTTCTTCTCTCTCAGATTTCTGTTCTTTACTGATTGATCAAGCAAACCAGTAACTATACGCTTGGACAACCGCGTTTTGCAGGTGAACTATATATCCATTTCTTCTTAACCATTTTTTCTCCATTGTGGCTTTTTGGCTTTTTTGGTTTTTTATTTTTTGTCATTTTATTACATGGGTAATTCATGTTTACCGAATTATTTCTCTCTCTGCATCTCCCCAGTTTTTAGTCTCTTAATGGGAGTGTATAGTTTTGGCATTTGAAAATTAAGAAGATGATCTGCCATTCTGTTGGATGCTGATCCATACCTGTTTAAAATGAGTCTTCCTTTTTGTATTCACTGGTTTCCTTTCTGTTCATGGATGTAAGATAGGGTGGAGTTCTAAATCTTGTTATAGGTGTTTCTTGAAGCAACTGTAACATTATTATTGATTTATTAAGAGGATGTTGGAATCCCACTGTTCGCTGTATGTGTTTTTCAGCTTCTCCAGATCCCTTAAATTCTTAAAGGAGTGAATTGATTCTGACTTCTTTTTTATCAGATATTGTGTTTAGGAGATTTGGTGCAAGATTTTGATGTCATTAGCATCGTTAGTACTTTTTTATGTTGAATGCAATAATCGAAAATGATAGAAAGGTATATATCTGTGTTAGAATGTTAGATGGTCAAGGCAGTTCAAATTTCTTAAATTTGATAAGATGTTTAACTTGTTGTTTTTTATATGTCAATCCTTTGCACGTATTATGAATCTGGGCTCTGTTTCTTGCCCTGTTTCTGTTCCTGCTAACAATAGATTAAGAGAAGTAGAAGGCCTTGTTACTTAGGTCAAAATGCCAAGTTGATTGCAAAGATTTGGCACGACATTCCAACTTACTTATTTCCTAAAATTTAAATTTGGTAATGCTGGTTGAATTAAATTTATGTTGTTAATTTAAAATTTAAATTTAATTTATATAAGTGTTGTAATCTAATTAGTTGTATTGAATTTTTTTAGATTAATTCATGTCAATTCATGATCATTAAATCAGGTTTAAAAACTATGCTAGATGTATTACTTAACAAAATTATAATAAAATTAATAATATTTATTATATAAATAATAATATTTTTAATAATAATAAAAATAATAATATTTATAATACAAATAATTATGATTGGCATTACTCGTCTGCCTACCAAATGCTACTCGATTTGTTGAATTAAAGTGACAACAAGATCTAAATTAATTTAATTCTCATCATTTTTACCAATGAAAAAATCTAACGGGAACGTGCACGGAAGATTCACAATGCAGGGGCATGGATGAACATTATGAAGCTTAAGGGGGTAAAATAAAACTATGAAAACCCAACAGGGCTGCAATATTTTTGATAAAACAACATCAGATCTATATTTTTCCATGTATTTATTTATATTCACATATCGACGAAGAAGAAGAAAGAGTGTTGTGGTGCAGCTCGCGATTAAAGAAAAAGGACCCAAAACTTCCAATTTCCCAGTCAGAGTCTTCATTATACCTCTAGGGTTTGTTTCATTTTCTTCTCCCTATCACATACAATTGTGTTTTCTTGCTTTTTAACTTTTACAACTTTCAAAGGCTATAACAAGAAAACAACAAGTGCATGCATGGAAGGTGTTTGATAATACTCGCAAGAAAGTAATGTTTTTTGTAAACTGCTCATCTCATCTCAATCTCATGTTCTTGAAAAAAAGAAACTCATGCATACTCTACTGAACGAGTTGCTGTCGGATTTAGGACTTGTACTTATTGTGTGCTATAGTCTGCTGTATAGGCTGTTAAAAAATGCTGCCGCAGAAGATGAAGAAGGCCATCACAGATAACCCAAAGCAGCTTGCCAACTTAATTGATCTTGTAAATTTACCTTCTACACTTAGAGATTTTGTGGGTCAGTCTCAGATTTCTCATTTGGGCTGTTTCATGCGTGTCTGGTCCTATATCAAAACCAACAACCTCAAGGTACTTTTTTTTAATCTCATCTTTTGCTTATGTTTTTATGCTAATTGGAAGTAATGTTCTTAATTACATGAATTGCTAATACCCATCAATAAACGAAAGAATTTTTTTTTTCATTTTTTCTTAAAAAGAAGAAATATTCTTAATCTTGTTCATCTAATTCTTCAAACTTTGCGTTGTCATAGATAAATATATATGTAATTCACTGTTGCGGTGTTTCAGCAAAAATGGGACCTATCATTTGATTGCGTGTAAAAGGTGGCTCATTTTATTATTTATTAACCTTAACGAGATAACTTAAATTCTGCAATTTTCTTGTCATTTTGAGAACAAAATATGAGGATATGTAGGAGCTGCATCATAACATGTCTCAACCGATTCTAATTGTGCAAATTGTATGTATCTTTGTTATTATTTTACTTTCGGTTTTATTAATGTTATTCTTTTAACTAACTCTTTGCCAAAACTGTGTGGTGTATGTCATTTAGGATCCAAACAACAAGAATGTGGTCAATTGTGATGAAAAGTTGAAAAGTATCTTGCTGGGCAAACAACAGGTTGAATTGGTCGAACTTCCTGCGCTGATCAAATTGCATTTTCCCAAACAGAAAAAGTAAAGTTGCTGTTTGGGATCTAGATGCCTATCTTGCTATAATGTCGCTTCACCTAAATATCTTGATGTTTCACGGTGCAGCATGTACTTCATGAGTTTTATCACTTATGAATTTGTGACCTATTCAATATAAAGTTCAAGCTTTCGTTCTTTTTCTAGAATTTGTTATTATAGGATTTCTTTCATTTCTTTATCTATTTTGTATTAGACTTGTCGATCTAATATGCAATGCTAATCCTTTTTCCACTGGAATAGAGGGAATCCGTTGAACATATTGTTTAATATCATCTCGCAGCTCATCAAAACATTTTGACTAGAATTATTCATATCAGTGGATTTATGTTATTTTTGTGAAAGAATATAACAATAGAATCACTTTCTCAATTTGAACCCTTTTAGACTGTTGCTGTTTTTATATAGTTATTATGATATACCTTCCCGATTCCGATCCAGTGATGGCATTTTGTCTATTCTTCAGATTTCCCTGAACAAGCTTCATAAACACTTCGACGGGGTTGGCACAAACCCTTTAAACAATGGCATATGCCATTGATAAAGCTATAGATATCCGTATTAGGAGGCCTTTTTCATTTCTATGATAAATAGGGAGGTTTTTTGGAGTACACAATACTATGGCAGACATCTTCTCCATATCGATGTCTTTGAAAGAGCTATTGCTAAGAGCATATAAGAGATTCTCTCTCATTTTGTCCTCTGATTGGAAGCTAGGAAAGGTCAAGAAAAAACAAAGGGCAGTTGGCAAGAGATGCTCCTTCATGTTATGAAGATGAGCAGGTCACCAATACCTTACGCTTAGGCCATAATAAGAGGGCTATTCAATGTTTGCAAGTTCAACTAAGCTATGAGGAGCCTTCAGTGGTTGCCTCATTTTCCTAGCTCTTATAAGAGAAGTCATTCACCTCTGTACTTCAATTGGCATTCAATTTCAGACATGGTTGATTGTCAATTGTTATATATTATTATTGAAGTGGAATGTTTCGTTGATTTAATTATAGACTAGATAGACAAAGCAAAACTCAAGAAGAAGTGTCATAGATTTTTCATGATGATCAACAACATTCGAGGTCAATCAATCATATGATTGATCAATATCATCAACCAGGATGGACTATTATTAATTAGAAAGATCAATTACAGTGTCTGTATAATCAATCAATTATAAATTATATATATTTTTATTACTTTCAATGCTTCTAATATTTATTTTTATTACAGGGATGAATTGTTTGTATCTATATTTGAGCATTGACTTGAACTCAAGTCTTTCACAAATAAAGAGTAATAACGTGTAGCGTTTAGTAAATTCAATTATAAACTAGATAGATAAAGCAAAACACAAGCAAAATTTTTGAAGTGTCACAAGATTTTCTCTTTGATAATCGACCATCAACTAGGACCCATCGTCAGCTAGAATTGACCAATCACAATCTACTGTTAACTAGAATTGACCAATCACAACTAGAACCGACCGTCAACCAGGATCCACCATGATCAATCAATTATCCAGTAGAAGCTGTATCAATCATATCAGTTGCATAGGAAGGAATTTTTCTTCCTAGTTAAGTTACAGGGTCTTAACTTGATTTTCCTACTTGGAAGTTATAATTCATGTTTGGATTCGAAAGAACAGGTTTAAGTTATTACACAAACAACTTTATGTTTTATTTTAAAACTCAAAATGGAGGATTTTCTCTGCACTTTCAGGGTATAATCTTTTGGATTTGAGAACCCTTGGTTGAATCTTCTTGGCTATGGCTATGGCTATGGCCTCCTTGAATTATTGGAGCAAGGAAGAATGTTGATCAATGTGAATGACAAGGAAGGTTGCATCTGATCGGCCTGTGAAATCGTACGGACGCTTGTGTGGATGTATTGTATAGGTTAGCAAATCATTTTGTATTTTGTGTTCTGATAATATTGAATTATTGATCAAAACAGACAATTCAGTACTCAACAGTGATGACACGCTGATCATTGATAGATGACAAAAAAGCAATTATCTATCAAAACAAATATTTTACTCTTTTTAATTGGCGGTTTGCACTCGATCCTCAACCCTAATACTCTCTTTCATTACATTTCATTTTGGTACTCGACAACTAATAGAATTTAAAAAATATAAATAAATCTCACCTAATATTTGAAAATCTTGGGCAAAGCCCCATTCGAGGATCTGCTCCAATCTCTTTGCCATTATATTATAAAAAACACTAAAAGTTCTCATGTTTATGTTGTTCATTGTGGGGGTGATACACTGTTAATTATAACAATTTTGTTCGGTCTTTTTTGTTTGTTTGTTTGATGATTAATTTAAAATTGAATTTGATTATTTATTTTATTTGATTTTTTTTTGACTACTCAAAGTCCTGGGAAAGAAAAACTACTCTTAATTGATTGAATAAAATAAATTAAATTAGACTTAATTTGAACAATGGACAAGTTTTGAGTTTTTTTTTTTTTTCCAAACATCAAGAACTATTTTGCATGGTCAAGGAAGAGATTCAACCCCTTTTTTTATCCCTTACTTTTCTTTTTTTTAGATTGAAGATATGGGGATTCCGCAATGTCAATAAAAAATTTTGACACATGTTTGATGCCTAGTTTTACAAATACAAATACGATTTTATTTTATAAAACAATTAAGACTTGAGAGATACAGTTTGAAAAAAAAATAACAAGGACCGAAAAGAATGAGCATGACAACTTGGCTAAAATATGCATTGCATATACGCCAGTGTGTGAAAAGAGGTCACCATATCTTGAAGGTGTATATAACCTTTTCCAACAGCATCCAATCATCGTTTATGGACGCATTAGAATCGCCATGGTAAGAAATTTTTTATAGTGGGGTACGTGTTCACCAGTGTGTGGAAAGAAATTTTTTATAGTGGGGTACGTGTTCAGAGTGATTCAATGGTGAGGCTCTAACAATCATTTTTTTTCCTTTTCTTCCTCTTTTCTTTATCCTTTTATCACATGATGATCTACTTAAGTTGAAAGGTATATTATTATTTTGTTTTGATATTAAATTTGACTTCTTTTTATTCATATTTGTTTTTTATATCATTTTTAAATTGATTTTATTTTTTTATTCATATTTATTTTTTATATCATTTTTAAATTGATTTTATTTTTTAATTTTATCTCTCGGTATTTGGTTTCATTTAAATTTTATATTAAATTTAATATTTATTTTTTTAATATCTATTTGTTTTGTTTGGGATTATTTTATTATTGAGTTTTATTTACCATTCCATCCTTCAACATTATATTTTATTTTATTTTGATGTTAGATTTAGTTATTATTTTTTTATTGCTATTTATTTTTATTTTGGATCAGTTTTAAATTGAATTTTTTTTTAAAAAAAAACAATTTCATCTCTCAAAATCCCTCAACATTTTTTTAGATTAGTTTATTTACTGTCGCTAATGTTTTTTAATCATATTATTAATTCAACCTACCTGTCAAGTCAATTACTGAATTATTATTTTTGCTGTTTTTTTTCCAGAAGAACACTAGTGCCTTTTTATCATCAATCTATAACGTTAGAAAAAAAATGAGCGCCCAACCTGCAGCATTTCGCGAGACACCTTTCTAGTTCGAACTAAACCGAGAAGCATATCGCTGCCACTCTCTCTGGTAATTGAAACAAAACATTTTCCTTTACTGTGGCACGCACAACGGTATTAATTGCAACATGGTTGTCCATGTGGGTGTGCTGTGAGAATTCAATGTGGCCACAATCAACTTTAGCCCTACTCGATCAGAGCATGTCTTTTGCTCCAGAATTATTTGGTTGTTTGATGCCGACACAGACTGTTCTTCTTATACCTAAGCTCGCTGGATAAGAAAGAAAGGAACTACAAGCAATAACGTAAGGACATGGCACTGAAATTTGATTCATAATTTTTCAATGTCTTAAGAGAGACCAGCCACTTCAAGACAAAAGACAAACTCAATCAACAACGTTATAGTTATAAACAAATGGCCAGCTTCCATGGTCCACCATTATTTAGAATCCTTTTTAAGAGTAGTGGAAGCAAGAGTTGCCGTTGCAGAAATATAGACCACTCTCCTTCTTTCTGCTGCTTCACAAAATATCCCAGTAGGAAAGCTTGGATCATAATAAATTAACGAAATAAAGATCAAGCAGTTGTGGAGAAAGAAAGAAAGAATCTTCTCAGAAATCAAGATGTTCCCTCATTAACTCGATTATTCTAATGTAAATCTAATGGAGCTAGTTCCAAATCATAGGCAAAATACGTTTAAAAATACAGTAAACTATAGGAATTTGATAACAAACACCAACAATCAATAGATTAGGAGAATTAATCCCAAATAAACTTTCCATAGATGTGAATCATTTATATAAAGAGTACAGAGGATGCATGAGCAGAAAATATATACTTCTTTTATATTTACCAAAAATATACATGTCGTGAGATAATTATTGTGGATTATAATAGTAAAATGAATTTTTTATATATCATTACTCAGATTAGCAGACTAAGCTCAGGAGTAAAATTGTTTTTTTCAATTGTCATTCTTATTTTTAGTGGGGATATAAATGTATTTTCATCTTTTTTATGAACAATGAAATACCTTCATTGTCTGAAAAAAAACACGCGGATATTTGGATGCCAGGGGCTTTTATAAGATTTTATTTTTTTGCATGTTATAATTACTAGCTTATCATTTATCTCAAAATTAATTAAGGATTGATTTAGAGGCATTTTTGTATTTTCATTATTCTTAACATAGTAAAATATCACAAAATTAACCTTTATCTTGGAATTGGTTTAGGGACAATTTTGTATTTTTATGTGGGTTTTTTTATTCATAAGCATATTAGCATAAAGATATATTTGTCTTTTAAAGTAATTAAAAAAACATAAAAAAAAAACTTAATAGGCGCATGGGAGATGCCGCAGCGCTTTGGTGGCGCATGTGACTTTATACGACGATAAAAAAATTTCTTTCATCATGTCATTAAATTTTTCACAGCATTCTCTTCCACCTCAGGCGGTTTAAATTGAGTTCTTATGGGTGGATTATAGACGAAGCCGCTTTCCTTTTTTATTCTTTTCTAATCTCTCTACTTCCTCGAGCTTCATCCCTAGCATTTAAAATTTCAATATAGTCCTCTTAGTTGTGTACATTTAAGTATAAATCCTTATTCTTTTAATTTGTTAATTTTTATCCTTGGTCTTTTTGTGAGCTTTTTTTTTGTTTTTTCAATTAAACCCTTCAATTTTTATTTTTCATTTTTTATTTCTCAAATTTGGTCCTTATTCTTTTTTTTTTCTTCATTCTTTTGCCATTTTTATAAACTTTCAATTGTTTTCAATTTTAACCTTTAATAAAAAAAAATTAGTTTGTTGTTTTTTTATATTTAATCCTCATTTTTTTGGTGGTTTTTTTTTAATTATTTAGTAAAATTAATTTTATTAGTTTGTTGTTTTTTTAATTATTTAGTAAAATTAATTTTTCTTTTCAATTTATCTCTTTAATCCAAAATTATCTACCCTCATATTTATTTTCTTTCAAATTTTGTTCTTATTCTTTTAATTTTTTTCTCTTTCAAATTCTTTTTTTTTATGATTTTGTTTTCAAATTTATTATTTAATATTTATTTTTTTTAAAATTTAAGATTCATGGTTTTTCTAGATTTGATGCTTCCAATCAAATAGCTAAGGTCACGGGTTTTATAATTAGCTAGCATGGTTTTCCATTTTTTTTAGAATTATTATTAGTTATCTCATTACTCAACATTGGTTTTAAAAAATAGACTTCGTGGTTTTTTATATTTTTATTTTTATAATGTTATTCCTATCTTATAACCCGATCCATAGATTTGAAGGGCTGACTTGATGGACTCAAGTTTTTTTTTGACTTATAATTGTTATTTTCTTAATCATTTCCATCTCATGGTTCAACATTCAACATTTTTTTTTTAACTTAGATTTTGTGATTTTCTTTGTTTAACAATAAGTTTTGCAAGTTGGCCGAGCGGCCTCGAGTCTTTTTTAATTTATAATTACTATTTTTTTTTTATATGTTGAATTTTTTTAATTTAATTCTTTAATATTTTATTTTTTTCCTTTTATATGTTGAATTTTTTTACTTTAATTCTTTAATATTTAGTTAGTTAAAAATTGAGTTTTAAGGTTTTTTCAAATTTATTGTTTCTAGCCAAATTTAAGGTTAGCACATATAGACATAATTTATTTTTTTTTATTTTTTATTTTTCATTATTCTAACATTGTAACTTTTTTTTAAAAAAAATGTTATTTTGTTGGCCGAACATCTTTTTTTTAAAAAAATGTTATTTTGTTGGCCGAACATCATTTTTTTTCTTCAAATTGTTCTTATCCTACCCGCGACAAAGCAAGGGTTACATAGCTAATATATATACAAAAAGGTGTGGGAAAAAAAGGCTGAAATTAAGGAACTATAGTGAATTCCAAATTCTTTGAAGATTCCTTCTCACTTTCATGCAACCTTAATTTATCTTTTCTAGGAAAAAACCTTTCTCTACAGGACATGAAGGACCCAATTGGAGCCTTGAACTTATCGAAAACTCTATGGTATTATTCATTACAAAAGTAATAAAACTGCTAAACTAGAAAGCATATGGGTGTAAGAAGTTGAAAAGGGAAAAAAAACAAAAACAAAATAAAAATCAAGCATGCTAAAAGCCATTGCTCATCTCCGAGAACTACCTCAGCAACTTCCTTGGCTTTGAAGGAGTGATCTTGATGACAAGTCCAGGGAAAACGTCATCCGGGTCATGGATATGCGGGTTCTGCTCCACTATAAAAGGGTCGCCGCACTTGTCACTGATGGTGTGGAGGGTCTCTCCTTCTCCGACAACATATATTTCATCACAAGCTCTATCCAAAAGCTGGCTTCCCTTGACAGGCTGATCTTTTGGGACGGAATTCTCTCTAATAGACCCCAATAATATCAGGCATAAGAGGACTATGGCACAGTTCCATGATGCTACATCAGCTATTACTAATGAGATTTTCATGGTTTTCTTTGAAGAAGAGAAATCCATGTACATACAAGATAAAAAGAAGAGATGGGTGTGAATCTTCTGATTAAACAGGAACGAAAAGGAGTGTATATGTGGGCTGTGTAGAGCATATATTATGTGTGTATTTATATATTTTGTGAGAAGGATAAGTGGCGTTATTTGGTCCCCCTACTCTTAATTTTATCTTGGTTCAGTTCCTATACTACTTTTATCCTAATGTCAGATTCCAGCTTCTTGTTTTTCTTTTGTTCTAATTCTTTTATCAATTATCGTCAAAGATAAGGATCGTTTTAGTACACAATAAAAAGTAAAGGGATGACATTTGAGAAAACTCTTCTGAAATCTCTTGATTTTGTAGAAATAAAGAACCTTGACAATGAAAAGATTTTTTTTTTTTAATTTTATGACAAGAACTAATATTGATTCTTCTTATCAGACAATCTTAAGAATGCATCATCCGCACCAGTCTAGTGTATGGATTTCTCTAAATGTGTGATTGGTAAAATAATACAGGGTGCTTTTACAAAAGTTATTTTTAATTTAAAATATATCAGAATGATTTTTTTATATACTTTATATTAGTGTATTAGAACCATTGAAAATCACCTAAAAAGCATTCATTTTATGTTTGTCCAGGTGGGAAACAATCTCAAAAGCATCTAGAAAAGCAAGTTGAACTGTATTAACACCACCAGATGAAGCATTAATTAAATGCTGCTGTAATATTGAATTCAAAAGGTTAAGGATCAAAGGAAAACAAAATCAAGAATAGGGGGGGTCAGAGGGGTGATAATCAATGCATGCTGTCGACCTTACGAAGCAAGAAAAAGAGAGAGATTTGGCCGTTTGCGTCGGGCGGAAGTTGGATTCAGCGATATTGGAAACTTGGTATTTTGGACTTGCTTGAAAGGTTCAGAGGCTACACAAGACACAAGTCATCTTCATACCATCAAATTACTGAAAAGGACTTTGATGATTAATTAAGGTTAATACATATCTAATATTTGGAACCTTAATTAAGACAATGTTTTTTTAAGGGTTAGGTTTTAGATTGTAAGTAGGGAAGATATGGACTCAAATTGATTAGCACTTTCTCTGTAGTAAAGCTTTCTTGGCATGTGTCATTAATTATCGTCCATTAATAGCCAGTAATCACCTAATGTTTTATTTCAAGAAACAGAATTTCCACCAAGAGGCATTGCCATCGGTTGTCTTTGGTACGCAATAGTCTGAACACAGCTTTCTTTCCTTTTCTGAGTTTCTAATGGACTTGACGTTAGGGTCTTAGAGTATGAATTCGGACATTAAAACTTATTCTATGTAGCATGTTGCAATTATTCCCATTGTGATGTCATGACCACGTTGTTTAACAATCATTTTTTTCTTGACATGTAATGTCTTGATGATGAAATGTGTGCTGCCTAGTGTGTTTGATAACCCGACCAACCGACGAATTCATAATCGAATCCCTTGTCTTTAACTTTCTATATATTCATATGGTAATGAGTGCATATTATTTCTTAGAAAAAAATAAGTTAAATATTTGTTTCATTGTAAAATTAGGTCTTTAAAATTTTAATCAATTTGAATACATAAATTTGAGTTTTATTTTGCCAACAAGTATTCACTTAATGTCGAAAATTTATTTTTAGCATCATGAGAACCTATATAAAACCAACCAAAATAAAATATTAAATTCAATTATAAATAAATTTAATATGAAAGAATTAAATGTGAAGCAAAAAAAACTAAAAAAAAAAAGAGTATCCAATACAAAAAAATATGAATGAAAAAAAATCTAGGTGATTCATGTTCATATAAATCATATAAAAAGTGTTACCCCCTCAAATCCCTTAATATTTTTGTTAATGATTAGATAAATGATGACAAATTAGGTACTTTGCATGGTGGATCAACTCAAGAAATGGGTGGAGAAGAGGAGGGAGGGTTCTGGTGTGGGATAAGGAGGCTCGCGAAGGGCTGAAATTATAGTGGGATATTGCGTGAAGAAATAGGACTTCCCCACCTCTCACTACCTTTCGAGAAACTGTAGCCATCAAAACTCGTCCAAAAAACATCAGACATAGAGACTCCGTGAGGGGTTGGTCTAGGGCATAGTCCCCTCCACGCCTTCTCCACTTGACCTCTCGGATTGGCTGACCAAGTCGTTATGATTTATGTATATTAATTTGCAACTTTTGACACGGTCCTACAGGTCCCAAAATGTCTATAAGTAGCTAGAGTCCAATTTTGAAGAGGTCATTCATTAAGTCCAGACAATTCCTCTTAATCGGTATCAAGGGAAAATTGTAAGAGAGATTAATGTACACAAGTACAAAAAAAAAAAAATCTTTGTTGCGAAAGAGAGGGTGTCTGATACGGTGTGTTTAATAATGTGGTGGAGTGAGGTTAAAATTGCATTTTGCTACTATTATAATTTTAGAAGTTTTTGGTTAATTAATACATCATAGTTTTGCATTAATCCTACTAAAAGTTTTCTCTTAAAACTTTGAAAAAAATCATAATTTATAGTTTTTCTTATCGATAATGCGTATAGTAATGCACATCTATCACAATATATGCCAATCAATTGCAGGAAAGGAAAGAAAGAATCTATTCCAGAAGACCTTATTCCAAGAAGTCATGGAACGTTTAACCACTAATTAATTACATTTTGTATATAGAATCTCAAAACTCGTATTAACGTTTTAAATTACTTTAGGTTATTCTTCAACAATCTGTCGATGAGACTTTGATAGTGTAACTCATTCGATCCTCTTAACGTAAACCCTAGACTCCACCTCAGTTCTATTAATAAAATTCTTCAACCAGCTTCTATTAAAATAATATTCAAGATTAATGATTTCATTGTGGATGCACCATATTCAATAATATTGTTTTCAAACAATTCTTGTCTTGAATTCCTTAATATAAAGTTTTTGTAGAGCATGTTTGGTTTGGTTGGGAGGTTTGATGGATAAAATTTAGAAGGTTTTTTTTTTTAATTTTATGATAATAAATATATTTTTGAAATAGCTTGTGTTTTAATTAAGAATAAGTTTTTTTTATAATAATTTTTAAAACACACCCTCATATCAATATGGTCAATTTCATCATTTTACGTACTAACATCAAATAATAACATTATTATATTTAAAAAAAATACAATATCATTACTATTGGTTAAGGGGCCTTCCTTATGTCCAAGAAATTAAGGACCATTTAAACAAGGTAGAGCATTTCATTAGAAATGCTACCAAATTGTATCTTCAAGGATTATTCTGCTGTAATAGACAAAGACTGATTCGTTGAACCCCCGATATTTAAAACATCTTCATTATATAAATCAAACGTAAACTAAATTAAATAAGAGATTAAGTTCCAGGCAATTAAATTAATTGTTTACCAAACAGTTCGACCATCCTTGTTCATCAAGGTATGGCAAAATCATGTATTGCGGAAGCATAATTAATGACTTAATCTATGAAAGTTACCTGTTAATTAAGGGAGGGAGTGTTTGATATTTAGAGAAAATCTTAATCTTGATGATCCAAAAACATTCATTTCACAATCAGCATCCATCCATTAAGAATTAACTTGGGTTTTTTTTTTATTATTATTATGTTTTTTCATGATAAATTTTCATGGATTGAAATTAATTTGACGTTTAATAATGGCCACATCCTACTGGAACGAGATGATAACCAGCATTGAATTAAAAAAAGAATAAATAATTAAATGATGAGTGCATTCTAAGCATATCAATGATTTTCAGAATTTTAAAGCGACAACTTTTGGAAGTGACAGCAAAACTTTATGCCTATTAGCTTCTACAGAAGTGACTAAAAACTAACTGGAATCGATGCTTGAAAGCCACTAAAAAGGAAGGCTACGTGTTGGTGATGTTAAATTAAGGAGAATCTCTCATGCTAAATTAAATCATAAGAGATAAGATAAAGAGAAAAACCCCTGCAAGAGTCGAATCAAATTAAGGTAGACAAAAGTAGTTGAAACTTATCATCTTACATCAACTGTTAGATTATTACATCAACAGTAAGATTATTCCTGTGTGTTTGTGCTGATAGGGCCCGTTTCAATATATTAAAATAATTTTTAAATTTTTTTTAATACCAACACATTAAAATTATTTATGAATATTTAAAATTATTAATTTAATATTTTTTAAAATAAAAAATAATAATTTTAAAAACACTTTAAATAGTAAAAGCTACCGCTTCACCAAAAAGACAATTTATATGCAATAATAGCATTATGGGATTTTTCAGTTCACATTAAAGATTCTTCATGTTCATCCAACTGCTTTTTTATGGGAAGATTCATTGGATTTTAGACTAGGATAGCTTTTTCATGGGGATATTCACTGGATTTTATGTTTGGAAATTAAAACATAAAAAGAACTAGGTACATAAATGGATTTTTGTTTTCTTTTCTAATATTAAAACAGTAACTAAATTCAATAATAAAATAACTAGAACTAAAAGTAAATATAAAAAAGAACAAGAGTTTAGAAAAATCTTAATATTGCAGCATGCAATAACGCTATTTTGAGCAAGAAAATGCTTCCTGATCTACACAAGAATAATCTTGCATACAATACATTTTTCTTCCAAGATATAATTTTTTTTTTAGAGTTTTTTGATGCAGTAAAAAATTCTCAACCTTTTAATCATTATTTTACTCACTTAAATTAATGAAGTATAAGGAAGGAAGTGCAGTAAAACTTGAGAGGACTATATAAAAAATAAAGGTTTTAAATTATATGTAAAGATATATGAGAGACTAAGTATGTGTTTATTTACAAGGTGTACCGCGTGTGACGGTGAAAAATGAAGATGTAAGATTATAGATTAATTAGTTTTAAAATATTTCCAGATTTTAGTGCAATTAAACTTTATCTTTTGTACTTTAAAATTAACATAAAAATCCTAATTGCTTTTAAAGTAGGATAAGGTTGTATAGTTTTGAATAACATCACTAGATGTTCCATGGGTTCGTATTCCATCAGTTTTTTGTTTTTGTTTTTTTTTTTTTGAATCAGGGTACAATTAAGAGGTGATTTTCTCATGAATCCCTGTGAATAACTGATATTTAATAAAGAAATAAAAAGTTTGAGCTTTTTCACCTGTTATTCTTGGATGTTATGTAAAGAGCTTTAATTTGAGAAATTTGTTTAAGCTACTTGGCATTTATCCTTTGTTGATCTTCAGTTTTTGCTTGAGAAAATTAGTCTAAATGTCCTCTTCTTCTTTTATGGTTTCAGTAACGTTAACAGCTTTCTCAGTGGTGAAATCATGGTGTCCTTCATCTGCATTTTGCACCCATCCCGACGCAAGACGCGTGACAGCTGGGCTTCTCTGTAGTTTAGCTATAATTTTAGTGTTTGAGAAATTCTAGTTTCTCTCAATAATTTAGGAGTATAATTTTTAAACCTTGAGAAACCATAGTTTATGTTGCGTCCCGTTCTCCGGGATATTATTGAAGAAGATCTTAAAGCTCTTGCACTTACTTGCAAATTCGTACCTGCTGCTGTCATATGTGCTCTGAAACCTCCTCGGGCACTCTGCTATCCATCCATAAAACTGCTCGCTCACGGATATAAAACCTGTTATCTTCCCTTCAGATTGTGATTCAGCAGGTGCTCCCTCGTCAAATCAAGCGAGTCTTGCAGGTACTTGTTACCAGCTTTAAGTGTCACATCAGGAGAATCATCCATACGACAACCCGGGGCCATTGCTTCGTTTGATCTAACCTTCAAGCTGGATCCAGGGAAAGTCTAAGCTCCCCAGTATTCAGCAATAAAGCTTCTCATCATGAAGCTACACATGCACATTCTGATAGACAAGCATCGTATGCTTTGAAACTGTAGGACTGTCGCTGTAATTTCCCATTGGATTGCTTCACTACTGCGATCTTAAAATGATGTGTATGATTTCCATTTTGGGAATCATATTTTTCACTCACTGATGAGTTCTCCGAAAAGGAATGGCATTGTCCGAGGAGATTCTTGTCTGCTAATACCAAAAAGTCAAGAGAGCTCATGTGTTTTGAATTACATGACATTAATAGAGAGTGAGCCTTACCTAGAGGAGGAAGATGGTAGGGCTTAATTTTTAAGGGTTTTGACTCCAAGAAGCCAAACAGCTTTTTTTTCTTCTTCTCCTTCTCCTGCTGCTTTGCCTGACATATAACATCACCACTACCAGGTGCATTTCTCCATTCCTATTATCATTTGTTTTTTATCAGAAGAGGTTCTTACTTGTGTTCTTTTGAGCAGGAGATTTGATCATCGGCGAAAATGCCATTCTTTCCTTCCCTCCTTTCCAAAGGGATTTTTATCTAATCCAACAATCGCTCCATTTTCATTTAGTAGAAGGAAGCTACTGTGGCGTCCTACCAGTCCTCCATTCATTGGTTTAGTTGGGATGTCCCTCGTTGAAAAGAACAAAGGAACAAGAAAAATAAAAGGCTTCACCCGTAAAATAGATTAAAAATTTCGATTGAAAGATAAGAAATGAAGAAGCAGGAGCTGTTGAGAGCACAAGACAGCTGCTTGATATAGGGGAAGCAGAAGCAGAGTCACATCTATGACAGACACGACCAAACTTCGACCTTTTTTGCATTCCAGCCTAAATTTCACAATTACGACAGACACGACTGCACTCTTCGATTCATTGCTGCCATGATCTCTGATTATCGTTTGCAACCTCTATGTCGATTGAGAGGATACAGTCAATTTACACGTTATATGGATGCCATCGTTGTATCAGAACAAACTTCGCTTTCATCATCATGGAAACATATATATTTCTGTAACAAAGATATGTTTATCACAGGAATGGGCCACAATGACATGACTGTCCACTTACTCCAGCCGCTGCAAGATAATTGATAGTATTTGTATTTGGTTCCCTTGTAGGCTTATAGTTATGGAAGCTATTGGTTTAGCTAGAAAGAAAATCAAGATGAGAGTGTTTCACGAAGAACTTAGAAATGAATACTATGGGAGAACCTCATCATATCAAAGGTTGGCTATTTCGGGGAGGTTGATGTCATCGGTGTACTCCACTACGAGAACGCACGTACTTTGTGCTTTTCGTTCCCGAGGAGTGGTAAAGGTAGTATTTGTGAGTATAGTAATGTTGTTTTTTTAAAGTATTTTGATTTAAAAATATATGAAACTGACATAAAAAATAAAAAATAAGTTCAAAAAACATTATCAAATACGATTTCTCTGCAAAAACAAACACCCAAAATCAATGTGTAAAACCATTGATAACCCACTAGTTTGGATTCTCCAAAAGAAGGTTGAAGAAGCCTTAGAAACCAGTGTTCGTGGTAGTACCACCATTATTATCATGTTTATTGTTTAATATGTTAAATCTGCTAGGAAAATGATACAGCTTAATGGGAAAGATAGAAAACTAGAGGTTTTTTTTACGTATTTAAACTATAGAGAGAACTCTGATTTGATAAATTCTAAATGTCAATAATAATATTGATAATAATAATAACAATAATAATAATAATATATTCTTAAATGTTATCTAAAACCAATCTTGCTAATGAAACCTAAACTAAATAAAATTTTGAAACCTAACTAATTTAGGTATGAAAACAATCTTAACTGGCTACAACAAGTTAGTCTAATCTACTTTTTTTTTTTTAAGGTTGAACTTGTCAATCTTGGCCATGAATGATCTGTTCGATGTTCCATGTTATTTCCTACACGTCAAAACTTTTTTGAGAATATTACGCCAAAATGGAATAAAGCTATACGGAGAAAGCCTCGGTTTACGAATTATAAGTTCGGAAAATCAGCAAAAAAGCATCTTGTAGTGGGCTTATATATATATATGATCAGTACTTGTTCTAAATAAAAATGTGGTAGCAATATAGTACCAGTACAGTTCTTTGTTCTTACAACGTTTGTCTTTTTTTTTTTTTTTTTTGAATTATTCTTACAATGTCTGTGTGGCATTTTTATAAGGTTTTACATATACTTGTAAAGTTCCAAGAACTTCTTCAACTAGAGAGACGATCGTGATCATTTGTTGTTGGAAAAAAGCCCTATATAGCTTCAAATTTCTTCTTTTTTTTTTTCTAGCCAAGATAATAAATATAAGTACAGTAATGGTTATTTTTCAAAGTATTTTTATTTAAAATATATTAAAATAATATTTTTTATACTTTTTAAATTTTATTTTTTGCATCATCACTTTAAAACAATTGAAAAAAAAATTGATTAGCAAACCTTGAGCCGCACTCCCAAATAAAAACTAAATATATTTGATGACAAATCGCGGTCATGCCTTTCAGGTTAAGCGTTCCTGTCAACCTTCAGCAATTGATGGATCGTGATCTTCATAAGAGCAAGACATTCGGCTTGAACATACATCTTGGCTTAAGCTTCAAACCAAATCAAAAACTTCCCAGAATAGTAGGGGGGGGGGGGGGGGAATTCATAGAAGCAGATCAGAATCGCAAGTTGGGATCCTAATTGGTTTTTCTTGGGCTGATTCGAGAAATGTCGAATGGCTACAGCCCAGGATCATTAACAGCTTCCATGAATCATTGAAGCGACTATGCAGCAGCAGCTGTATGAGCACTCGTAGCAGCAATGCAACAGAGTACCGGATCCTTGAAGCAACAGTCAACAGTGCAAGTTTTACATGTTTTCTTTTCTCTACGCAAACAAGTCAGAGCTCGTGAGGACTCTCGGGAGCAGTTCCTGAGGTATTATCACACATCTGAATCTGCAGAGTAGTCAGGGATGCTCTGTCCGGAATCCAGATCCCTCACCAAGGCTTAAAGTAGGTTTGTGGCTTCAATTTCATAATTGCATCCAGTTATCCTGTTCAGCTGTTCTCTGTTCTGCTGAACCTACTGAAATATGAACGCGGATGCTGTTTCTTATAACAAAATAGGCTGCTAGCTAAAACTCAAAAAACAAAACTGCAGCAGGAATACTTCAGTTCATTCTAAATTCTGATGTTAAAGCTATAGCTGCTCTATCGAACCTCACACTAGGAAATGTAAACACCGCGTGGTAGATACAACATCAGGTAAAGATATACAAACATGTACAAGATCTGTATGCAACAGGAGAGAGAGGGCTTCACTTGGCAAATTTTGAACACGAACAACACACCATGGTACATTCCTGAAGACATATCTGATGCATCGAGTGAGGGTGCCAAAAGCAAGCAATTATTTCAAACATATTCTGGATCAAATCAATTGACATGGATTGATCAGATTGCAGCGAATGCTATGAATTTACTTATGCCAGATTCAGAGTTCTCAACTGATACAAGTACAACTTGGATATTGAACGTGCTTCTTTTTTCTAGAACTATGGTGGCACACTAACACTAGGAACCCAAAACTGGCAATCTCTACTTAATTATTCCTCCCGCAAACTTACATCACACAAGAACCCATGAAAAGAACAGGGTTTAAAATTAAATAATAGAGAAGGAAAAACACATGATGACACATAAAAATAGAAATGGCCATCAAGTTGTGGCAGTTGGTACAGCAACAGAATTCCACACTCTCACTTGACCAGTGCCATCGCCAGTGAAAAATAGGCCCCCAGGACCAGTTTGAATGGCACGAATCTCTTGTTTGGCAAAAATTTTGCCCTTTTCTGAAAACCTGAAGATGGGTAGAAGCATTACAGTTAAGGACAGTAAGTCAAACAGATATGTGGGGGAACAAAAAAGAAGCTGACATACAAAACTACAAATTTTTATATAAATACAATTTGAAAAGGAAAAAAAAAACACAGGAAATGCTGAAAACTCACGATGGCAAATCAAAGAGGTGGACTGAAGAGTCATTGCTAGAGCATAACAAGATTGGCTTGCCTTCCAGATCATGCATCCCACAAAGGGTAAGCAGGCCCTGCAGCAGGCAAGGTGTAAGTCTATGAACTATCCTTTTAGTCCAAAATTTTAAATTGAAAAGCTCCAAATCACTGTTAAAAGGATGGAAATAGATTATTCATGGCTTGACCATTTTATCATGAATATTGATGTCTTTAATGTTTCTGTAATCAGCATCCATCCCTCGAAACCCAAAACTAAAGTGCTCATATAATTCATATTTCATAATACCATCTATCTGACAATTAATAAACACTCTATAAATCTAAGCGATGAATGGGTCATGCTTGTGAGACATCAAAAAGCTACACTATAGGAACAACCAACAGTTCTTGGTGTGGATCCTTATCTACACCTAAGTAGCTGCCTAAATAGAGATGCAAGCCAAAATGTAATTACCATTCACATCCACAAAAACTTCACCGGTCCCCTGCCCCACCCTATCCCATCCCATCCCTGAAAAACCCAGTATTTTTAGAAGTCCACTGGCAACAACAACGTCCCAAAATTAAAAGGGCATCAGGGTCATGAATGAAAGCGATCTTTCTAGAAGCATTGTGAAGGACTAGATGCCCAGAAATAGACATTAGGGACTCATGTTCACCAAGTTAATTAATTAATGTTCTATTTACATCCATAGATTGAAATTCAGTGAAAAATGAATAACTGGAACAGCATAACCTACATGTTCTTCTTTGTGAGTGTATGATACTTCTAAGTTTCCACTTTCAGTAGCAGCCCACACCTGAACAAAAAACAGTGGTAGAAGCAACTAAATAATCTTATACCAGTCAAAGGAAAAAAAAAAAAAGCATGATATTAATATAAAGCAAACCTTTATTGTTTGGTCCAACGAACATGATAAAAGAAACTGCTCCCAGCAAAGTAGTGACATGACAACTGAAGTATGATCCTTCAGCGTTTGTACACACTGCAAGGTTTCAAGGCTCCAGACCTAACAGAAAGTGCATCAAGAAATAACAGTTATAGAAAGGAAGGAAGAAGGGAAAATGGGAAACTTCAAGCCACTTTACTTTACTATGGCCTAACAACCACTGAAGATTCTACATTAAAATCAGAAGATAAAATTCCACATGGCACTAAACCAACTTACTTTTATAGAATGATCCATAGAACCAGAGTAGAGTCTATTAGCTCCAACAACCAATGAAACAACTGCCATTTTGTGATCATTTAGCGATGCAGCTGGTTCGAAGTTGTAAGTAGCTGCATTGAATTTCCATACCAATATTGACCCATCCTGCATCAACATAATTCAGGGGTCAAAGTTATTTCTCAATTCCAAACATAATAACATGCACATACACCCACCCACCACCCTGGATGGGTGGATATTTAATTTCTTGGGGCAAATAAACAAAGGTTGTCAGTAATTTTGCAAAAAAACATATCCTAACTCAGCATACACCAAACAAAGTTCAACTTAAGGCATAACTCAATGCGAGTATGTATAATGCAATCAAAATAACTAACAAGATGAGCAAGACACTTTCCAACTTGAAAAATAACCTGGCATGCAGTATCTGGTGAGAACATGAATAATCCTAAGAAAATGAGCATTACCTGTGTACCAGCAAATAGCAAATCATTACCCACGACCAAAGCATACACTTGTCCCACAGGTCCAGTAAGACTCAGGTCTGTGTTGGTCTGTGTATTCCATGCCTGCAAAAGATGTGTCAGAGCCATTCTCATGAAGGTACACATTATAACAAAATAGGTTTACAATCATATGAAATAAAAGTCAACAACAATGAAAAGCCTTGCCTAACCTTGACCACATTTGGAGTACCAACAAAAATCCAAGGACCTTCACTGATCATGCAACCAACCTCACCACCAAGATTTATCACACCCATACACTGCAACATAACAGAGGCACAAGAACATCCATTAAGCAAGTCAGTTACTAAACATTCAGCAGAGGAAAAAATAAGGAGATAAAAATAAATCACTAGGTCTTTGACTTCATTCCTCTATCGTGCCAATATCTAAAACAAAAATAATGAAACCACTAAAATCAACTAAAAATAGATCCACTAAAATCACATCCACATTCCACAAGCAAAATCTATGATTAGGTATTCAATAAAAACTTTTAAGGAAGCACATTTGCATTAGAAAAACATATGGTGCCTTGCTTCTGAACAAAACCATGCTCGAATTACAAGCATGCCTTTAGAATTAAACACAATTTAAAGGATTGATACAGCACAAACATTAGAAACAACACTTTGAAACACCATTGCTAATACCAACACAGAACATTATAATTCAACCACAGTCATACTTTTTCATAACCTAAGCAACTCATAAAACAAGTATTCATTTTTACCAAAAAACAAACTTAACATGGAAAATGTTCGCTCAAATTTAAACTGAAAAAACAAGTAAGAGATCCAACCTGTCCAGACTGGCAATCCCAAACTCTAACAGTTTCATCTTTACTCCCTGTATAAAGCTTATCTGACCCAGATGGCAATGCAATCCCACTAATCACCTGCTCACATCAAAATCCACAAAATCAACCATCCAATCCAATACAACAAAAACCCATTACAAAAAAAAAACCTAAAAATTACAAAAAAGGCAACCTTTTGATGCCCTTCAAGTTGAGTCAACAGAGAAAACCCATCACCTAAACTCCAAGAATGCAAAAACCTACACGTATCCCCACGATTACAATGCCCTTGTACCCAGTAAGTACACACTTTCTCCACACTTCCCCCTCTTACCCCTCTCCCATCACCCTTATTCCCAAACCGCCCCCAACTGTTATTATAATTACTATTATTACCATTATTACCCCTCCTCCCCGAAAACGACGACGACGACGACGAATCATTTCCCACAAACCCTCTTTTCGCTCCTACTCCCCCATTCACTGCCGCATGTGTCGGCGGGGCTGAGAGTTCACGGTGGAGAAATGGACATGGAAATCGATTGCACCTCCCAGCTCTCCAATGGTAACAGACCTTCTGATTCTGCTGAAGGTGATTGTGATTTGACGTGTCGTTCGCCGATTGGCCCCCTCCTAATCGGTTAAAAACTCGCTTGTTTGTGTTGGTGGTGTTGCCTCCGTTATAGTCAAAATCCATTAATTCAAGATTGAGTATTTCGATTCAGAATCTCCGAGCTGAATCTGATCATGAAAAAAAATACTAACCGATTGAATTTGAGCGGGTATTTAGGGTTTAATAATTGGAAACCCTAATTTCGTGTGAGAAATTATTTTTGATTTGGGGATTTTGAAGAAAGGAGAAAGCGTCAAGCTGACGATGATGTGGAATTTACTGTATTATCCTCTTTTAGGAGGATATATTATTTTTCTTCTTGTTTTGGGACATCGACACGTGTTTGGTAAATGATTGGGAATGGATTGATACATGGATTTGTTGAGCGGGTCGGGTCTGGTTCTAAAATGGGTTGATGAATAAATATAAAAAAAATAATTCTGCCTCAGTATTAGGCAAGTAATTTTATTACGGATATAATTTCAATAGAAGATTTACTCACAAATGCTTAAACATTAAAAAAAATAAAAATATATATTAATATTTGGGTTACTCAAATCGGCTGTTTGACCTTGTTTTAAGATTAAATCTAATGACTCATTTATATTTTTGAAGTTTTTCTATTTTGGATTTAGAATTTAAAGATAATAAAATAAAAATTAAGAACAACAAAATCAAATCAAATTAATTAAACTAAACAAGTTGATGGATTGAATCAATATCTTTTTATTTCAACTTCGTTTCATATCATATTAAAATTATAATTTTTTGAAAGAATTTGTTAGTAATTCCAAAACTATGCCAATAACTTTATGCACGGATATGTCAACTTAAGGAGTAAGTGTTCATCTTCTCCAAAAGCAGCCTCATAAATAAAGTCATAGAGACCTAAAAGTATGATTCAAGTTTTCTATGATATGCTCATTTTTATACTTTCTTTCTTCGTGACCAAGCAAGATTATCAAAGTCAAGTGGTCACTGTGTATGCTAAGAAACACCAATCAATAAGAATTCCCCACTCGACGAGATTTATAATCCAAAACACAGCTTTCTCAAGATCCAACAAAGCATATTATAAATTGAGAAAGCCAAGCTAGCATCACAGCTACCCTTCCATTAGAGCGGAGTCCACAATGTCTAGCCAAACTTCACCCTCCAATCCCACCATTACCGATCCCTACCAGCACCTTCAAATCATCCCTAACCCAGATGGAACAATCATCCGTGACCCCAACAGATATCCAAATTCCTCACCGTCACCTGACCCCAAAGACCCTACTCCTGTCCTCTCCAAAGACATCATCATTAACCAATCGGAAAAAACATGGGTTCGCATATTCTTGCCTAGGCAAACCATAGTTGATTCTTCTTCGACCACCAAGCTCCCTCTTATAGTCTATGTCCATGGAGGGGGGTTTATCAATTGTAGTGCAAGTTCAACGGTTTTTCATGATTTTTGTTCAAGCATGGTTCTTGATCTCCATGTTGTTGTTGTCTCCGTTGACTATCGTCTAGCACCCGAGCACCGCCTACCGGCGGCCTACGATGGAGGTTTTGCAGTGGATCAAAACCACCCAGGAAGATTGGCTAAGAGAATATGTTGATTATAGTAGATGTTTTCTCATGGGCAGTAGTGCTGGTGCTAACGCTGCTTACCATGTAGGTTTATGTGCAAGTCAGGAAGCTGACAATCTCGTGCCCTTGAAGATCAGGGGTTTGATATTGCATCATCCATTCATAGGTGGGGTCCATAGGACTGGGTCAGAGGTGAAGTTAGTCAACGAGCCTCACTTGCCACTATGTGTTAACGATCTCATGTGGAACTTGGCATTGCCTTTGGGCGTTGACCGCGATCATGAGAATTGTAATCCAATGGTAGATGCTGGATCTAAGCTTTGGAAGAATGTGAGATTGCTGGGATGGAAAGTAATGGTGACCGGCTGCGATGGGGATCCAATGATTGATCGCCAGATGGAATTTGTGGACATGCTGGTGACGAAAGATGTGAGAGTTGTGGGCCATTTTAGCACAGGAGGCTACCATGTTGTAGAGCTGAAGGAGCCCTCCAAGGCTAAAGCATTACATGCTCGGTTGAAAGATTTCATGCTTGATGCACCAGCTGCATAGGAAATGGTGTCTAAATTAAAATCTAAACATGAAGGCTTAAGAAGAATGTAGAGTCATTAATCCAGATAATTCAATACAAGTGCTATCTTGTTCTTTAGGGTTATTCTCAATCCGTGCTGGTCTTGTAAACGGTAATATTAGTGCTAATAACAAAGTCCTTATTAGAATTTGCTATTCTTATGTTTATTTTTTATCTTTTTTTAACAAGGATGAGCGTCTTCTTGAATTTCAATAGAAAATGATATCATGAAAAAAAAAAGCCCGATATATATATATATATATATATATATATGCCCCCTGCCAAAACGCAGTCCAAGCCTACAAAAGCTAAACCCAAGAATGATATACATGTCCTCTCCATCTATCTTTTAAACTCCATATCTTCAAGGTTTACTAATTCACACTTCCACAGTGCTTATTCTATAAATACTATAAAAGCTTTATTACATGAAGATTTGTTGCTCGTCTCTTTCTTTTCTACGTCCCCATGTCGCAGCGTGGGAAAGTCCCTTTTTTTTTAAGTGAGGGAGATAGCTTCAGGAGTCTCTTTCCTTGAAGCTGAAAGCAGCTCATTCTTTTGAGAAGACTTCGCCAAATCCATTGGTAGGTCAAGTGTTATTAAGACATGCCTCGTCAATTGGTTAGCTTGCCTCATCCTTGTTGTTTGCAATCCATTTTTCTCGCTTTGTTTCAATATCTAGATAGCAACTCGCACATATCTATTTTATTTTATGGGGTAGACACAGTGGAGCCTTCTAAGGTGAGTGCATTGACGGAGACTACATAAACATTCATTGAATCTCCATAAATGTTTTCCTGGAATGGCATGATGGTGGATCTACACATTTACAAAACTAGAGGCGAAGTTCTGCATCATGAAGAATGAAGATCGAGTGAAGCTTAAAAGCATAGTTAACTGGTGTAGTTACTCGGTGTGAACTTTAGAGAACCAGAATGTCTCCAAAAGACTGGTGGTTTCTGGAGAATAATTAACTAGCAAGCTTAAAAGCATCAATGAAGAGGCCATAAGTACTGGCAGCCATCTCGAAATTGTTGAGAAGAGCAAGGGGAAGGGTTACCTTCAGCCCGCTGTAATATAACTTTGTCGCGTACTCAGTTAAGAGAACACAGACCACTGCAGCAATCACATCATTTACTCCTAAAGCTTCAAATCACAGAAATTGTATGCGCCACGTAAAAGCCACCTAGCAAGGAAATTCCCCCAAAGCGCGCCATATATCCTTGAAGGACTTTGAAAATAGTTCCTTTGAGAGCCCGGGAATGGTTCTGATAATAACAACTAGTCTTCGAGGCCCTTCATTCTCCTGCACAGCTTGGATCCTAAGGAGTGCACCAGGATAGCTAATTGTACTCTTAAAATGAATCCAAAACTTTCTTTGTTCACCACCAAGACAATGTGCTCATGAAACTAGAACCAAACTTCAGAGACCATGATTGAGTGATGCCTGCTATTGATTACAGTGAAGAATTTCTTTTCTTTTCTTTTTCCCTATAGCATTGCCATCAAATTCTGCTCTAATTTTATAGAAAATTCTATAGTAAAATTCTAAACCACTACTCTAATTTCAGTTTATATGGCATTTAGCACATAAACACTCAAAAAAAAAAAAAGATAAGCAGTTAAATCATCTATAAGACAATTACTAAACTAATCGCAATTATTAAATTCAGCAGCTAAGACTTGAATGAAAAGTCACAAATCAAAATTTCTTTCCCCCTTCCACCAATTTCTCAAAAAAAAAAAAAACACAGCAGAAAACTGTAGACACAAATCAAAATTAAAAAAAAAAAGATAAGCAGTTAAGTCATCTATAAGACAATTACTCAACTAATCGCAATTATTAAATTCAGCAGGTAAGACTTGAATGAAAGTCACAAATCAAAATTTCTTTCCCCTTCCACCAATTTCTCAAAAAAAAAAAAACACAGCAGAAAACTGTAGACACAAATCAAAACAAAGAATCCAAACCAAAAAAGGGAAGGAACCCATGCAGTAGAGTCATTAAATCCGCATAAAAACCATAACTTGAGGAACAAGAGATACTAAGCTTGAGAAAAGAATCAAACTTGACAAGAAACAGAGATAATACGGAAATGGGTTTACCTAAAAATTCAAGACCAGAGGCTTTACGAGCTCCATTTCTGCCTATATCTATTCACCAACGGCACCACCTTGGCTGACAGGGATGATAAAAAAAAACCGACAAATCAAACGACAGCGAAGTGAAAAATTAAACTGAATCGAAGATAAACCCGTTAAAAAATTAAAAAAAACTCAAAAACAATATAATTATTTTATTTTTAATACAAAATAATCTAATCAAACTGAACCGAATATAACTAAAATGGATCGATTAAATTTTAATTTTTAATATAAAATGATGAATCCGGAAAATAAACCCATTAAAAAATTAAAAAAACTCAAAAACAATATAATTTTTTTATTTTTAATATAAAATAACCTAATAAATTGAACCGAATATAACTAAAATGTATCGATTAGATTTTAATTTTTAATATAAAATGATGAATCAAATCAAAACTGATTAATTGAACTAAATTCAAGTTTAATTTTTTATATTTTATAAAATTTCAATTTAATTATTTTTATAAATAATAATAAAAAACAATGTAAAGAATAAAGTGACTGGCCATAGATTATATTTTGGGAAAACTGCAAATTAAACCCCAAAGTATAAACTTATTATCACTTTAGTAATCAAACAAACGATCTTATCAATTAGGTCCTACCATATCCTGCGTGGCAACGACTTTGTGATTGATTTCACAACTTTCCAGAGTTCAATGTGGAATCAAATGAACCAGTCCTCTTTTCCTAAACTCATCAGGCCACAAGACTGTCTGGTATTTTTATTTTCTTTTACACATATGATCATTTTGATTCTCTAACATGATGGTCATTTAAATTAATCAAAACAATATGCAAATGATGTCATATTTTGGATTTTCGTTTTAACAACTCTTTCCAAAGCGGGTCTAACCCAGGCCTAGTCATCAAAAAAACCTGTTTTTTTTTAAAAAAAAAATTTCATCATTTTAGAGCCTTTTAATTTTAAAAATAAAGATTAAATCAAACCTTGACCTCCATCCTGAATTTTATAATTATGCTTCTTGGTTGATAACTTCTATAATTATGCTTCCTGGTTGATAACATCTCAATAATCTCCACTGTCTAAT